CGCATTGAATGATGCTAATCTGGAAGCATGTTGTGATAATCTTGACATGGTTTTAAGACATGTAATTTTTTGCGATTTTGATGACATGTTTTCTTTGAGAGTTAAAATTTTTTGTAAAATTCTTTACCAAAAGAAACAAAGACAGTTTTTGATATATTAATTTATTTGAAATACCAAACGAAATAAAGACAACTTTTGATATATTGATTTATTTGAAAAGATTTGATCTCTTTTCGAATACATTTATTGCTTATAGAGTATTACTGACAATTAATGTTATTGTTGAACCCGCTGATTTTTTTTTTTTAAATTGAAGTTATTAAAATCTTATTTACAATCAACCATGTTATAATATCTTTTATATCTATTGAACAAAATTTGTTAGAAACGAAAGTTTAATTAGAGCCTTTTTGTTTTCGATTAAAATCTAATTAAAATTGAAAATATGACTGTTATTGAGTCTCACTAGTCTAATAAAAGTCAACAATAACGGCTAGTTTTTCAATTTTAATCTGATTTTAATCTCTACCAAACACGCCCTTAGTTAGTTTGCTTCTAAAATTGCAAGAAAAAATATTTTTACTTAATTTTTATGTTTTTCAAAGTTTACACGAGGTATCTGACGTTTTCGATTTCAAGGTTTTCTCATATGAAATGACATGAAAAGTTTAGGGAATTGGATGATTCTTTGTTGATGACATGAATTTTGATGAAGTTTGAGAGGTTCTTTTGAACTTTTTTCATACTTTTCTTATTCACGACATATAAAAAAATAAATAGTATTTAAGTATCATAATTTTGTGATGATATAATATTATTGATTTTTTATTTTTTTTATAATTTCATGAAAGGGGTATTGTTTTAAAATGTTGCACAGGGCATCCAAAATTTCAGGGCCGGCCCTGTTCATGGGCTTCACGTGGTACGATCTTTATTGCAAGTGTATAATATCGTTAATAAGTAATAAATTGGATAAAAGAGTTCGAATTATCATTTCCATGTGAACTATATATTTAAATATTCGTTAAACTATTTCTCACTTCGTTTTTTGAATAACACAATTAAGATTGATTTTTTATTAACCTAAATATTATAAGTATAAAAAAACTTAAAATGTGCGCAAGTAGCAATTAGGGTTTTTAATTTATGTGTGAAAAATCTTAAGACTTGCGATTTCATCGTAGTCATCCCCTTGAATCTCGCTTCTCGAGTTCGATTC